GGGAAAGCAAGTACCGCCGCCGTCAGATACCTCGTGATAGTTGCAGCGGCAACAACTCCAAGTGTTCCCTCCTGTGCCTCCACGTAGGTGCCTCCGTAGCCAAGCAAGGCATTCGTGCGACGCACCACGCGCTCATTGGTGGCAGCCATCACAAACGGCCCCGTCAGCCTCTTCTCCGAAACATCGTACCACAAACCTCTCCGCGTGGGCGCTGTGACGGGGCGTGAAGCATCCGTCGGGAGCAGGCTGTATGGATCGCTGTCTTCCGGGCCGCACGCCTCACGAAGCGCAAAGACAGAGCGTGCCGTGCCGCCCGACATCCCGGCACCCGACAGCTGGTAAAACGCCCTTACTTCGCTCACCTGTGCACCAAGGCCTTGATGCACAACGTAGTTGCCCAGGTCCCCAGGGACGCTGTCAAATGCGCAACAGGACACCAGAGCAACACCCTGTTTCTTAGCTTCCTCGTTAAATCGTTCAATGACTTGACGGAGAAAATTATACTCACCTGTTGAGTCCACGTAGTGCGTACGGCATCGCACGCAGGCCTCCACGACGGACATCCCAACCTGTGTAAAGGGACCGGCACAGGAAATGAGCACGCCGGTACCAGCACAGACTTTTTGTCAAGGGAACTGGGGTTGGTAATATCTGCAGAAAGCACAGCGCTGTCCACGCCAAGTTCCTTCTTTAGTTCATCCAGCTTCTCCTTATTACGGCCTGCAATTGCTCAAGGTCCCACATTACCTGAAACCAGACGTGCAAGGTACTCACATACCAGTTTGCCCGTGTAGCCTGTGGCTCCAAAAAACCACCAATGAGAATTCCCTTGAAGTTTGCTTTTTAACACAAATTGTAATGTAATACACTGTAGCCAAGAGCATCAACAAGGGCAAAATAATAATAATAATAAACAATAACAACAACGTCAATCCTAAAAATGAATAACGTGTGCCCAAACACAAGAAGTCTCCTCACGTCTATAAAAACATTGAGATAAATCAATGCATTAAGCATAAAACGTGGCAGACAAGGCCACGAAAAGCATGCCCATGAAAGTGACGGGCGACTAGGGGCTGTGCATGTATCCAACCTGGACGTCGGTGCCGTTGCTGCTGTCGCAAAGAACCCAGCTGTATATTTCGTCCCTTGGTCCATCTTTCATGCAACTGAGCTCTCGAATAATGACTTGTGCAAGGATGCCGCCTGCAACAGTCGCCTCAATAGCGGTACCCGACTGATCTTGTAGCGAAAAACTAGTCGCGCGTTCGATGTCTTCTCTCGTGAGTTCTGACAAATTGTATAGAGCGACAATGTCCATTGCAAAGCTAAGTCTCTCAAAAAACGGCAGTGCCTCAGGGCACTCCGTCATTCGCATCAGCAACAACGCTCGCTGAAATGGCGCAGGTCTGAGTGAGACATTTGTCGTAAGCAATGCGTTTAATTGCTCCTCGTAGGAGAGGGGCTGCCACTTTGACAACAAAATGCCCATCGTCAGCTGGCCAAGTCCCGCCACTAGCACCACCAAGTCGGTCCCCGTGCGGCGCTGGAGGCAAACGTCTCTCACGGCGTCCGCAAGATTTCGGATGCAGAGGAGGGTAATGCTAACGGCGGCGCTGCCTGCCAAGGCCCCTGTCCCTGTCGTTTGTGAGGATAAGCGAACGGCAACGTACGGGTTCAGCGCCTGAAGCCGCTCCACGCACGCCTTTCCCCGTTCCTCGCCGAGGGAGTGGCCCTGTAGGAGGAAGTTGGCTGATAGATCACCGACATCCACGGCGGCCGCATCCTCCACAGTCACCGAGCCCACCCCCGCCAGGACCAAATTTTTGGTCATCTCCGCCACGACAGGCGTCATCCCGTAGACGCACACTGCAGTCTGCCGAAGCTGCTGCTGCATGGCTTTGCCCCACAAACGCACCTGGCGGTCGTACCGAATTTGTTCCTCGCTCTCCATGTCGCTTGTCGCATCCCCAAGGCAAAAACGTTTTTATATATATAAAAAAAAAACAGGAGGAAAGAAGGCAGATGACTTTGACTGGCGTGCCCAAAATGAATACCCCCCTCCCCGCCCTACCACACACGGCGACAGAAGGCCACAGCCAGACACGCGAAGACAAACAAAACAAAACAAAACAAATAAATAAATAAATAAATAAATAAATAAATAAATATATAAAAAAGGCTGCGTGGGACGCACTTCTTTTTATCTCGCAATGATTTTTGAACCAAATGCAGGAGACCTAAAAGAAAAAGGCGAACATGCGTCAAAACAAAACAAAAAAAAAGCAACAAAAAAAAATGACAACAATAAATAAATAAATAAATAAATAAAAACGCAATGGAAAAAAAAGAAACACTCACACGTAGAATTTCATTATTATCATTATTCCTTATTTTTGTCTTTATGTTTTCCTTTTCTCATCCTTGGGATCAACGCCATGATATTTCCTTTCGAGTTATTAAAAAACCTGGATTCCGCAGTGATACGCAAGCCAAAGTTTCCACCCCACCCCAACTCAATCTTCGTTTTCCCTTCGGTCCTTTCCACCACATTGAAGCGCATCAACAGTCCCCCGTCAAGCGCCCCGTGGCGTTTCTCATCGCGCAGCACATACCGTCCTTGTCGTTGTTGCATTGCAGTTGCAGTCGCTGTTTCGCCTACAAGAGCCCCAAGGTCACTCACTTTGTTCCTACACGCCGCAGCATTGCCAATGATAGTTGTGACACTCGCAGCTCATAGTTATCAGAACGAAGAGTATGCGTACTTGCCTTCTATCTTAATGCACCTCTCTCCTATACGTTACAGCCGTATTTCGCCTCGTACTTAGACAGCTTCTTCTTTGCCGCTTCCAGCTGAGCCTGAAGCGAGTCATATGTTGGGCGTGTCACCTCGCCCTCCTGCAGACAATGCTCAATCATCCAATTCTTGTCCGGAAACTTAGTCATGTAGTTGCGGATGCCGTCGGGGAACACCACCACGCAGCGCTGGTCGGGACGCAGCTCCTTCGCGGCCTGAAGAACTCCCCACATAGCGGCACCGCTGCTTCCACCGACGAGGAGGGCCTCATCGCGGTGCAGTTCCGACGCCAGCTCAAAGCTCTCCTTGTCAGCGGACTTCACCCAGCGGTCAACGTACTGTCGTTCACAGACACTTGGCACAAAGTCGTACCCGATACCTTCAACGAGGTACGGCGTTGGCGACGCCGGGGCGGAGGGATCAGCCAAAATGCTCCCGTACGGGTCGACGGCGACCACAATAACGTTGGGCAGCAGTTCCTTCAAGCGCTTTGCCACCCCAGCCATGGTACCGCCCGTCCCGGCACTGATAACCACCATGTCGACCTTCCCACCGCACTGGTCATAAATCTCTTGCGCCGTGCCTTCGTAGTGCGCTTTCGGATTTGATGGATTTTTGTACTGATCCAGCAACACGTAGCCTTTCTCCTCCTCCAGACGTCGCGCCACGCCAATGAGACTCTCTGGGTGGTCCCAGGGCAGTGCCGTCTCTGTTCGAATCACTTCTGCTCCCAGTGCGCAAAGAACCACCTCTTTTTCGTGCGACATCTTTTTTGGCATGGTGATGACCATGTGATATCCCTTAACCGCCGCCACCATGCTAAGTCCGATGCCCGTGTTTCCGCTTGTAGGCTCGACAAGGGAGCTGTTGGGGCGCAGCCGGCCACTTGCTTCAGCATCCAATACCATTTGGCGAGCAATGCGATCCTTGACGCTGCCACCCGGGTTGAAGAACTCACATTTTGCAACCACTTCGCAGACCAGTCCGTGCTTCTGTGGCAGACGATTTAGCCGGATGCAGGGAGTGCACCCGATGGCGTCGAGGACGGAGTCAAGAATGCATCCTCGCCTTTCAGGTACTTCCTTTCCCTTGTAGTCGGTGGCGTGAGTTTGAGTCATGGCGGTGTTTTCCCTTATTCTGAGGAGGATAAATAATGGCAGCAGACAAAAGAAAAAAAAGGGAAATAAAGTGGATGGGTGAGTGAGGAGTGACAGTTGTCAGTTTGTGGCAATGTCTGCCAAACCCTTCCGCACCGCTCCCGCCTTTTTCCCAACGCCCCTACAGACGCCAACTCCCTCACACTCGGCACGCACCCTGTCCCCTTTCGTCCCCCATATCTTAGTGGCATCCCTGTGTTTCCAATGATGAGGTACATGTGTGTGCCTTCGTGGGTAGTGGAAGTAGGGGAGGGGGGAAGGGTGTGACATGCTCAAAACACTCAAATTATCGCCGGTGGGAGCCGTAGAGAAAGGACAGGGTCGAGGTCAGGAAATATATGCATACATGTATACATACTACACCGACCTACCCATCATACCGGAGATTAATAGTAGCAAAAGCATTCGTCATCAATACACAGAGAGAAAAAAAAAACAAAAACAAAGATAGTGAAAGTAAAATGTGAAGAGACGTTGAGTGGACTAGCGGCGCAGCAGGAGTTGAACTTGTTGCTCCTCCTCCTCTGAAAGTTGTATCCGTTCCTTACTTACACTCCTTCCTAGGGCTGAGAGATTCTCGCGCGCCCCCTGATGATGGATCATGAAGGTGCCCAATGTGTCCAGTACCGCCCTACAGCAGTCGGCTGAAACGCCTTGCTGAAGCTGCAACCGAACGGATTGCTCAGCCATGGCCTGGAGAAGCGGAACATGGCGCCAGTTACTCTCGTTGAGAACAACGCAAAGTTTTCCAATGGCGTCTCCCGTAAGCTCTTCCGACCGCTCAGCGATCCAATTCGCTAATTGAACCACACACGCATCATCCTCGATGTCGTGGTTCATCTGCCACAAAGAGACAATAATCTCCACGGCCTTGTTGGCGCTTCCCAACTCCGCCATATTCTCCACAATACCCTCAAGCGCTCGCGTCGCCAGCTTCTCATGCTCAATGCCCAACGACCCAAACGAGGCGAGCAGGGCACACTTGGAGTCAAACGGGAACTCATCCGCTTTCTCCGCGGCCTTGCTGCCAAGCTCGTTGTACAGCTGTCTGTTGAGCAGCATCACGCGGCTAAAGCCCCGGATCGCAAGCATTAAGTCCGGGGCCGCGAGGGTGTCGGAGTGGTCCAGCATACGAAGCGCAAATTTGTCAAACAATGCCTTGTCCAGATACTTGGCCCGCCCAAAGGCGGCAACGACGAGGGTAATCGCTTTCTGATCCATCGGCAAGAGTATCGGCCGCAGCGCAAGGCGCGTGGCAAAGACATTGTAGAGGCTTCGTTTCGTACACAGCATGCGTGAAAAGCCATACAGCAGTCGCGCAATATCGTTTCCGCTCCAAAACTCATGGGAGTGATCAACAACATAGTCCGAGCACTTCTCTGCCACGAGTTGGTGGGAGAGGCGCTGCCCAACACCGTCAATTTCGCCAAGCCCAAAGGCAACACGGGCAATCTCGCTCGTGGTGAGCTGATCCAAGCGACGAGGAAAGTCATCGATAAGTGCATTTGCCACCGCGTCCCTAGCCCTCGAGAGATGTACGGCGCCACACAACGCAGCATACACCCCTGCAGAGAGAGCCCCCATCCACTCCAGCAGGTGCTCCGCGACACTCGCCTGAATGCCGGCCTCTGCATCACCGTATTGACAGTGTGCCGCGACAGCCAAGCCCACACAATCGGGCTGGAAATCGCGTTTCTGTGCCAAGCGTTCCGCCAGCACAGCTACGAGTTCACTGACGAGGTCTTTACCTGGTGAATTTAGTGAAGGCTGAGAGAGCAGCTGTGCAAGCGCATCAAGGGCCTCCTCAGAGAGTGTAGACAGCTTGCCTGTAGCCTTTTCTAGTATCGTGTGAACGGTGGCCATGCGCCTTTGCTTCAAAGCAAGTAGACCTGCAGCTGGGAGAACTTCGCTGGGCGTGTGATTCATGCATTGCTCAACTGTGTGCAGTAACAACGCTGCGGAGGCCTCAAAGTCAGGAGCGTCAAAGATTGCCTGCAAAACAATAAAACGGGCAACGCCTCGAGCTTCGGCGTATGGCACCTCCTTACCAACCTCGATTTTGGTGACCACCAACTGCACAAGTTCACGGAATAGCGGTTCCATCTTGTCAAGGAGCGGTTCATGCAAATAGTTGCGACAACGCAGCATATCCAGCAGCTCCAGTGCCTCATCCATCGTAAGACACGCTTGCGCACACACGCTTAAACAGACAAACTGCCCAAGTTCGTTATTTGCATCAATGGCAGATGTCGATTTCGCTATGTTGCAAAGAAACGGGATCGTGCAGGACCCCTGCATCACTGAGATGAGTCTCGCGATGATAGCTTCTGCCAAACGGGCTTGAGCCTCCGCAAATGCATCTTTCTCTTTCGCATTAATCCCACGCGGAAGTGGCAGTGAGCACGCAGCACATATCCGCAACAGCGTTTCTACGGTGGCCTCCCGCACACCTTTCTTAACAAATTGAGAAACAAGAGCTACACCATGCAGCAACAGAGCTCCTGATGAATCCCGCCGTATTACTCTAAAAAATGAAGCCACGCCTTCTGGGGAAAGTTCCTTCAGCTGCGTGGATAACTGTAGAATAATAACCTCTGGTATCTCACCCTTCTCGGCGAAGATGCAGGCAGCCTGCGCCACCACATCAACGGGAAGTGCAGCGCCTTGCTCCTGCATCACGTCAAGCATCCACTCCTCAGGTATGTGTCGACCAGCCAATAGTCTTTCATACGCCTCCGTCGTTCTAAAATGCCTCGTCAATGAAGACGCGGAGCCGATGCCGCTGTCAGTGCCATTTTGATGCGTCTCTGAAGATTTATTGCGATGCTGTCGGACGAATTCAGCCGTCTGTGGAAACAAATGAAACGATGTCACCACAACCTTAAGCATCTCCTCCATGTCAACCTTTCTAACTGCGGGCATAACCGACACTGCGGCCTCATCGATTCTCCGCTGTAAAACAGGGTCCTGCACGCCAAAGTGGGAGTAAAACTCCATGGCCTGCACTACTTCGTCTGGGGACCATGTCCCACCCTTTCGCAACCGTTGCGACATCCAGCTCCGTGCACGCTGTGAAGTCCAGACTATCTTATTATCATCATCCTCTTCCACACCATCCGCCTCCTCTTCCGCCTCGTTTTGCGGTCCCGCTTCAACGAGCGGCAGAAGACAAACTTCGTGGATGCACTTTACCTGCTCCCCGACCGCCCTCCTTCGCAGCTCCTCCACCACTGAGCCAAATTCCTTTTCGGAAAGGTACTTCCGTGCGAGCTGCAAAAAGGGCTGTAGCGCACTCGCTGAATCTTTCTTGTGCAGCAGCCTTGGTGCCGACGTGATAATGGCCGGTACTGTCTCACTGCTGTACGACCGCAACGTTGCTGCGTAGCGAACCACAGCCGTCACGTGATCGAGACGCATGACAGCACCTTTGCCCATGGCGGCGTACAACGCACAGATAAGTGTGTCCGCCATGTCAACACGGTTGCAGAAGAGTGCGGCCGCGCCATCCGAAAGCATCCCAAGTTCCGTTGGGTTGCACAGGTGAATAACACGCTGGGTTCTCGTTACAATCGAGTCAGGGGAGAGGTCCAGAAGCTCCTCCTGGCGCAGCCGCAGCCGCGACAGGGCGGCCATGGACAGACACAGCTCCTCTTTTGTCAAGCGTGTGGCCAGCAGCGGTGACACCATCCGCCTGATCAGGCGGTGCAGCCTCCCATTCATTGGGCAGAAAAGAGTATATCACTGAAGGACGTGCGTGTAAATGTGTATCGAAAAAGAAAAGCAGGGTAAAAAGAAAACAAAAGAAGGACGAAAACAAGTGGCTCCTCCAGAGTCAGAAAAAGCGGCGGCCGTTCCCCCTCCCCCTCCTCCACACAATCTACCGAATCGGAAGGGATGGAGGGGTGGTGTTAACAACAACAAAAAACAAAACAAAACATGAAGCTTCTCTCTTATGTTTTTTACACCCGATTCAGGCGGAGTGGGAGGGAAGACAAAGTCGGGCTTTTATTCGTTCGTCCACTGTTTTTTTCCCTTCTCCTACGATTTCGTCACGCGCGTCTTCTTCCGCGCCGGCTCCGTTGCGCCTACCGCGTCGTCTGTTATCGGCCTCTCCTCGCTGTTGGCTTCGGTGCAAGCGTCCCCCTCGCCGTTCCCGCCGGCCTTCATCATCCCAATCAACGAAAACGTCAGCGTGGTTCGAAGCACGTCACCCTGCTGGCGCACCTCAATGCCAACCCGAACCTGCTCAAGCAGGTCCGGCACCCGCACGAGTTGCTCCTTTGGAATTTTCCCCTCCTGGCCGTACTTTGGCACCATCACAAAGACGTGGGTCTCGGAGAGTTTCACGACGTACCCGTCTTCATCCGGTATAGCTTGGTCCGCAAAGTTGCGCAAATAAAAACCTGTAAAGAGGTTCTGAGAATCGCGCCCCGCACGCTGCGCCTGCTCGTGGCGGTAATTAATGTTCCCCGCAAGAGCCTCCATTTTGACGGAGTCTGTGTGCATCTCACTCACCTGCATGATGCCGAGCGCTGCCGCCAACTGCCGGTGCACAACCACGTCCGCGTACCGGCGAATAGGAGAGGTGAAGTGGGTGTAGATTGGCATGGCAAGGCCAAAGTGACAGAACTCGTCCTGTGGAACTTCGCTGCTGGAGAAGTACTGCGCCTGCCGCAGGCACCGTGTCACGAGGATGCGGATAAGCCGGTTAAAATACGCGTCGTTTGGGTCGATGCACGCATTAAGTGAGTTGTTTAGTGTCAAGGAGGTCGTGTCATCGAGTTGAAGGCCAATTTTTCGCCGCAGAGCCTCATTTAAAGTGTCAAACGCGTTTTCCGCGGGACGCTGGTGACGACGCAGGAGAGTCCAGCGTGGGTAACTTTCATACACTTTCCGAGCTGCCGCCGCGTTGGCAAAGAGCATCCATTCCTCAATCATAGAGTTCGCCTCAAATGTTTGGTACACCTGCATGTCAGTGGGATTCACGTGGTCGTTGTCCACCTTAAACTTAAACTCCTGTGAGGCGAGGAACAAAGCGCCATCCTTTTCCCGCTTCGCCTTGAAGTGTCGACTGATGCTCATCAAGTGCCGCAGCGACACAGCAATCTCGCTCGTGTCGTTGGCGTCATCAATCATGCGTTGTGCGTCCCCGTAGTAGAGTGCCGCGCGGGAGCGAATCACCGTCTTTCCAAAGTAGTCGCGGACCACGTTGTAATTCTCATCAAATTCCCACATGATGGAAAAGGCGTAGCGGTCTTCGTTGGCGACAATCGAGCAAAGGTTTTCCGTCAGGAGCTGCGGCAGCATATTGATTCGCCTATCAACAAGATACACGCTCGTGCTGCGCTTGGCAGCCTCCTCATCCATGGCTGTGTTTTCCTGCAAAAAATGTGTGACGTCCGCGATGTGAACTCCCACCTCGAGATGATTGCCATTCACAACACGGCAGTGTAGCGCATCGTCAATGTCACGGCATCCAAGCGGATCCACGCTAACAACGCACAAATCTCGCAGGTCCAGTCGACGCCCCAACTCCTCCTTCGACACACTCCACTGCCCTTTGGGTAGGCAGTCATATACGGCCTCACTAAAGTCATAGTGGGGAATGTCGTTCTCAAGGAGGATGACCTTCGCCTCTGTATCCTTGTCACCAATGGTGCCGAGCACCTCGACGTAGTGGCCCACAGGAAAACTGTTGTACTCTGGCCAGTCATCAATGATAACGCTCAGCCGCTTGTCTTTCAAGTCCTCTAGGTGCCGCGTGAAAATTCGGATGCGTGGAATACGATTGTCCTTCGGCTGGAACAACACACTTACCGCACCTGAAACCGTTGCTTGTGCCGCAGTAAACCGCTTAAGCTCCTCCACATCAATACTGCCGCAGAAAGGCCGGCGCTCCATATTGGTAATGCCAGCTACCCTTCCTACTGGCGTGTAGCCAGCCTCAAGCGCTGCCGCCTCCGTCGTAGTTGCATCATCAAGCGGCTTTGCATCCTTCGGGCCGCGCCACAACGTCATCGGGAGCAGTTCAACGGCAACAATGTCGCCGTGAATGGCACGGTTCAAGTTGACACGACCTGGTAGTAGGACTCGGGGAAAGTTGTGCCCCTCCCACTGCCCTCGGATTTCACCGAAAAAACAATTCGCCTCACTCACATGCAGTTTGCCACGAAGATACGTGCCGTTGTGTATGCCCATCTCCAGCGCACTGGCCTCCACGTGTGGCTGAAAGAGAGCCCCCGTCCTGGATGACTCTTTCATCCCTGCCGGCTGCTCACACTGAATCTTCTCAATAAGGTCCGACCCAGTACTTATAGCCTGCTCCAAAAACTGTCGCAGCGTGACACAGGACAGGTTCGGGATGGCGTCTTCCCCTGCGGCTGTGGTGAGGGCCTGTCGAAGCAGCTTGTCGTGCGAGACGAGAGACACACTTGGCGGCAACGCTGGAAAGGCGAGGGCGGCGTGCCGCCCGTACCACCGTGCGGCTACGCGAATGCAACGATCATTGTAGTCATTGGGCGTTTCGTCGCGTTCCATCATGCAGTGCGTTTGCTCGTGGTGATCGTTGGAAAAAACGTAGCACTGCTTCCGCTCCTCCCACAGGAGTCGCTGGAGACGCGCGTAGATGGCCTTGTTGCGGTTCTGCACCTCCGACACGACAGTCGAGAGAAACACGATGTTCTGTACCCGGGCGTCTTCCAGAGCATTCATGTTGTGCAGCACGACGTTGGTGTCAGGGATGATGATGGGCGCGGTAGGAGCTACACACGGTCCACGCTCGCCGCAGATGGCGTCCGCGCAGAGCGAGCAGCCAACGACGCCGCAGCCAATGTCGCTGCGTGTGACGCCGCCGCCACCCCGCCTTATCGTGGGCCCTCGCACCTCGTGCACGGCAGAACGCTTCCTCGCAAACATCGCTTGCCAGACTACACGCGGACCGCGGGGTGCGTCCACGACTTCCTCTCTTTGCCGCGGAGCAAGAGAGGCCAAATAAGAAGAGAAAAAAAAAGGAGAGAAAAGAAAAAAATAGAGACACACGCCACATATAAAGCCCTAAAGAGCAACAACAGACATACAAGAAGGGAAAACACACTCACAGAAAGAACAACAACAAAGACGGCGGGGAAACGAAGAAGTCGTCATCGATGAGTCCACTGTACTCCGTAACCACACAGTATGTGCGCAGAGTTCAATGGGCCTGCGTCTCCGTCCTCCGCCAGAGCCGGTCCCACTCTTCTCGCACCGCACCACTGTATTCGATGCAGTCGTCGAGGGACGCCAACTCCTCCGCGCAAACACTCCCGCAGACGTCATTCCATCCAGTTGCGAGGGCGACCACGTCGTCGATGCCCACCAGCTCCTCTGCGTGGAGAAAGAGCGGTGCAGGAACAGTGGACACCGCCAAGCCTCCAATGCCCATTCCCATGGCCCGCGAGATAAGATCACCATCATTCTTCTCGTTGTGGCACAAGGCGAGTGCCACTCGCCCCAGTGGCACGCCGCATGACGATATGGTCTTCATGACAGTCTCCAACCAGCGTGGAGTCAACCCACGGATGCTTTCCTCCAGCACCACACGTGCACAACCACCGTCGGTGGCCAACAAATGTGCCACGCTTTCGGCAACGCGTATGCTGGGGACGTAAAGTCCCTCAAAGCGGCACGTCAGCGAGGAGCGCATCCACGCCGTCCAGCTGTAGTCCTCCGCCGATGACAACGCGGCCATGGCTGGGGTTAGCTCCTCCACGTAAAATTCATCCAGATGCTTCTTCTGAAAAAGCATCCGCGATGCAAGCGGGCCTGATGGCACACAAATACAAACCTTCTTGTACTTTGGAAATTGCTTGATTAGCAGCGGCACCTCACATGGCTCGACGAGAACCACCAGTTGGTTTCCCTCAACAAGCGTGTTCCATGCTGCGCCTCGTTGTGTCTCGCTCGTCATCGACAATAAATTCTCGTGAAGGCTTTGTAACAGGGCAAAGGGCACAAGAGCTTCCGTCGCACCACCAACAACAACGGCGCCTGTGATGACGTCCATGGCAAACCTAGCAACGGCGCTTGAAAGGACGCCTGTCCGCGGCGGCTGCAGCGCATGCAGGAGGGCGCAGGAGGAGCAGTCCAGCAGCCGCAGTCGCAAAGTGGCGTACGCTGGAGGCAACAAATGAGAGGTCATCCTTCTACGTGTCACCCTCGCCAGGCTATGCGTGGGCACCCATCCGTTGTAGGGGAAGAGCGAGAAACAATAAAAGTAGCCAGTCGAATAGCCCAAGCAGCCACGCACAGCGGCGTGTGCACCGTGGGAAAAGAAGAAGAAGAAGGACGGTGGGATGGGAGGAGGGCAACCAAGGTAAAAAGCAACAACAAGTCGTAGGCAAAATACTCACGGAGATAACAAACACACACAAACACGAAAGGGAAAGCGAAGAGAAGGGCAAACAACAACGACAAACAATCAAACGTAAGTTAATATGACACCACCTTCCCCACCCTCCTTCTTTTCCTTCCACCTTTGCTCCAGGCCAAGTGCAGCGTTTTAATAAAACCACCCAATTCATTCCTCGTGAGGCTTCGTTACGAATACGACTTGGAACCGCCTTTGTCCGCAGCAGCGAAGCAGCAGGACCCCCCATGACGCCACCGTCACGTACCCACACCATTGATACACATTGTTGCCCCCCACCACCGCAGACTCGCCCACCATCCAAAGTAGCACAGAAAGTGTGAGAAAAAGGGAAGGGAAACCCAGTATAATCTTCCACCGGGTACGTGAATCCTGTATAATGTCCAGAACAGGACCCACGCACCAGACGGCAAACAGTGGGCCACCCAGGCGAATTACGCTAAAGGTCCAATACAGGACGAAAGGAACGTCACACTCCTCCATCTTGCTTCCTGCCGACTCGCCACAAGCCACCAACAACATAAACAACTGCGCAATCGTCGCCATGAAAGACAACAGAGAGAGACCTACTCCACAAAGTGTCCAAAAGTTTCGTGCGGCAGTTCCAAACTTCCATGAGAGTGTCAGAGTAAACAGGGCAGTGAGAGACGACGTAACCCAGAGGCACCATGCCCTCATTAAAAAGTCCGCCACTCCATCGTTTGGCCTTCTAGCGTAATCCCACAATGATTCCTCCACATACGGGAAGTCTAGGGGATGTCTTGTGATCCCCTTGGCAATACGGGAAACAGGCTCAACGAGGCACAGCAAACCCAGCAAAACTGGCACGCGCATCCAAGCTTCAAACCGTCCCTCATACCATCTATTCTCCAGTTTTGGAAACCTCGTTCCGTCCATGGCTGCATCGTCTCGATGCGGGAATCGTGTTGCTCGTAGCACCTCCACAGGTGTGAGTCCAACAACCCAGCGGGCGCCAGGATCCTTGTAAATGGCCCGCGTATACGTCAAGGGGTCCTGCAGCACCTCTACTTCAGACTCCTCCGACATTTATTTTTCTTATGCGACTACTTTACCTCGGCACCACACCCAACCGCAAGTGTCTTTCCTTTCCCCCCACCCCCCGCTTAGCTGCGCACGCCGCACCTCTGTGTTGTAGAAGAGAGAAGACAAAGATAGTTGGAAAAGAAAAGAAAAACATAAATAAAGAGACCCGCACATGCACACACACATAGCAACACGGAAAGACGAAAAACCCAAAAGCGAAAATTTTAAAAAAAATGAACAGAAGGAAAATAAAAGTTATTTGTACAGCATCGATAATGAAGGTACCGCCAGATAGTAGCAAAAGCAGCCGGGCAACAACAGAAATAACAACCAAAAGAAGAACTCGTCTCACCTCACTCTGGCTCCCTCCCCCATATACATATATATATATATATATATGTATATATGAAGAAATCCTTACGCGTGCAGTGACAGACCACCAACGCCGGCGCACTCTCTCACTGCCTAAACGTTTGCCTCCGAGTCGGAGCTAATCGTCCCATGCCCGTAGCCGCCGCCATCCTCCGCCTCCTCGTGAGCAGCATTCGTCCCCGCAGTAACGCCCTCACACAGGTTAAGAGAGCAGATAAAGTTGGGGGTGTCTGGCCCACTCGCACTCTCCTCAACATTATCCAACCTCCCGGCGAGCTGCTGCAGGCGGGCATTATCCACCCCAACCGTTTTATCAGCACTCTGTGCAAAGTAAAACCCAATCTGATCCAAAACCTCCATGAGGTTGCCTGGGTGTAGCGTCCGCTCTCCAAAGTGCAGCTCCTTCTCGCGGAAGAGGAAGATGGGAAAGCGAACACCGTCTGCGCCGCGACTTTGCACAAAGGCATTGAGCTCCTCTAGCTGACCCAGGGCCTTAGGCATGATGTTCCTCATCATGTCATACAGAAACCATCGACGGCCCTTGCTACACTGCGGAGTTACCAGCAATTCCTTTTTAAGGTACACCATGTGCCGACGAGCCTTGTACAAGACGGCACCCAAGGCCTTCGCGTTGATCTCATCAAAGGGTACTGAAAAGTAAAAGAGATCTCCCACCTTCAAGTTTTTTACCTGCCACGTCTTTAACCTCTGATCCTCCACGATGGTGTGCCAGGGATTTTTCAGTCGTGACATTCGCAGGCGATAACCATCGTCCGTCTCCACAACGACACCCGCCTTCCGCTTCGCCTTGCTGTAGTGTTGGGTGAACCTCATGACAAACGACATAGATGAGTTGAACTTGTCATAGGCAATGGCTACGGCTTCTTTTTCATCTAGCAGCGTCGTACTCGGGGGTCCATTCCCCAACCTGGCGGGGCTAACAAGCACCTCGGGTGAGACAACGCACTCGCGTTGTTTGCTGCCACCCGCCTGCGTCCATGTCGGGACTCCCGTAGCCGCCCGACTTTCAGAACGTCTTTGCACAGGGAGTGGCTGCTCCACCGCAGCCGTGGCTGCCACCCGACTCTCCACAGGAAATGTGATGTTCGTGGCAACGGCCAGCAAGATAAATGTCAGACGCGCCTTCTTTTCCTGTTGAACCTCGTCAAAATCGTGGTAAGCATCCGACTGAGGAAAGGAGAGAGCCTCATACTCCATCGATACAGTCTCCCGCGTCACGCTTATGCGTTGCGCCTGCTCTTGGAAAAGCTGACGAATATACCTTTGCTGCGGTGTGTGGTTGGCGTCCCACGGAACCCTGTCCAGCAGGTTGAGATGGTGTCCAGTAACGTCCCACAGCTCAATGCTGGTGAAGTATTCCAGAGAAGCCGCATTAAGAAGCGAGATGACGGCATTTTTAATGGCAGCTGCCCACTGTGGGTAGTCCTTCAACTCCGCCGTGAGTCTCTCGCGGTAGGTTGGGGACTGCGTCAGGACTATGGCAAGGCAGAGCGCCATCTCTAGCCCCTTGATTTGAAAGGCAGTAAAGTCCTCCCCAGGGGTGGTGCGACCACGCCCCGCATCCACAATTCCCTTCAGTAGCACCGCAAGCACCTCTGTGTCGTGCAATATCTGCCGCGGAAGCTCGTACACGGCGGGTGTGTATTGAATCAATAGACGTAGGCTTCGGGCGCGTGCAGCAGCGGCGTTACCCCCGTCACGTATTCGCAGCAGCACAACTTTTGAAAGGTTCAAAGACACGACGGCTGCAAAAAACGCGTGCAGGTGCATCCTCACAGCCACCCCGCAGCATGTTCCCAAAAGACGAGCAGCCGACTCCACCACCTCCACGCTGGGGTCCTGATCCAAAATGCACCGTAGCGGCAACAAGAGACTTCGAGCATCATGCAACATGTATGCCATGTCGCTTTTGTAAAGACGCAATGTCTGTTCCAAGATCTCGGCGGCGAGCGTTCGCACATCCGCAGACGTATCCCCTAGGATCTTTATAAGAGCTGACACCGTAACGGGGTTAGTGAACTCCAAGGCATGGGTGTTCAGCACTTCCCGCAGGATGCTTGCGCACATGCTTCGAACCATGTGGCTGCCGTCACGCATTAACGCACAGCGCATGGTGTTGATGCCACTGGAGGCCACAAACCCTGTCGGCCCGTGTTGTATGCGCAGAATAAAAATAAAAAGCGTTTCTGCCGCACCCAGTCGCAACGGCTCATGCGGCGACTCTGACACGACTTGCAGGAGTTGCGGTATGAGTTCCTCATCCACCGCAACACGAAAGCATGACGCACTCACCTCCCCCAGGTCACTGCAGGACAATAAGAGGCGCTGGAGGGACCTGACAGCTTTCATTCGGAACGGTAGAAATGGCTGTGGCACCTGCGCATCAAACTCGTGCAAGTGCTGTAACGGTTGAGCGACGATATCTGCAAGAAATCGCATGAATCCACATTGAAGCGAGCGACGCAAAATGTGAAGTCGGGCATCCTGCGACCCCGTCTCTTCCGCGTCGAGCAACGTGTCGTACACGTCTAATACGTCCACGGCTTGCTGCTGCGTGAGCGGAACTCCATTTGACATGGCACCTGTCGCAAAAAAATTCACCGCCTTTCCCAAGGCCTCGTGAAGGGTACGAAACGTGTTCTCAACTTCCTGCATTGCCTGAAGCTGTTGACCTCCTCCTGCGTCGTTGGAGACAAACCGCTTCTCGCGTTGGAGGTGAAACTCCTTCAGGTTTCTGCTTCACGCCCTCTACACCCCACCCACCCCCCGCTCCTTTAGCGAGAGGCCCAGGCACCGCTTTAAGGTCCCCAATGGATGGCGGCTTCTACACACCTCTCGCTTCCGTTTATAATTATTACTATTGTTATTAGGATGTTTGTTTGTTTGCTCGTTTGCCTTCCCACCTCAGCTCGCTATGCCCCTCAGTCCCTTGTTCACTGTTCGCCCCACCCCGCCTGAGGCGCGGGGCGAAAAAGAGAGAATGAAAGAAGCGGGGGAGAAGCGTTGGGGCCACGCAGAAGGTGCGCATTCTTCACGCCTTGCGCCGGCGGTCTACGGCCGCCCCAAAAAAAGATGGGCCGCAAACAACCACGCATTAATTGGAATTCAAAGCGGAACTACCTTTAAGCTACTTTACTTTACTTTTTCCTTCACCTTTTCAGTGTCGCCGTCGGTCTTTGTGCCGCGTTTCCGCCACCGCCGCGCTGACCACACCTCGTTACGCGTGTCGCAGATATTAATTCCCTCGCCCCTCGGCACCATCGCGGGCGAGGGTATTTTCGCAACGGTGGTACCTGCTCCGCTGCTCGCACGGGTGTTGGCGCTCTTCTCTCGCCCGCTTCCGAGCCGCCCCAACGGCAGCAAGGTCGTGACGAAAACTGCAGCGGTCACCCTTCTCACACAAGGCAAATTTGACAAAATTACGACATGCCGGTATCTCTCGGTATTCGCAGTGCCAGTAGGGGCATTCCTCCTCGACGAGTTTGCAACATCCAGCAAGAAACATGCGGCACGGCACTTTCGAATACCGCGCCGCTTCCTCCGGGCTAAGATCCGCCTTTGTGCGCCGTGGCTTGCGCTCCGGTTTGGGCGGCCGCGGCGCCGCCCGAAAACTCTCGCGGATGAGTTCCTTATCCGCCTCAGTGACAAGCGGATACGCCTCCAACGCGGAAGCCTGAATGACATCAAAGACAGGGAACTCATTAATAAAAAAAAGAGTACGGAGGGCCTCATTCAAAGTGCTGGAGGGTGACATACGAAAAAACTTTCGCTGCATGCCTAAACGCTCGGCCCGTGAAAGAATGATGGCAGGTCCCATCGCCATGAATGCCCTTACGGCCTCCTCATTCCACGCCTCCTTAGACGACAGTGGGGCGATGGAGAGTTGGCATGGACTCCACTCCTCTTGGCACTGTGGCTGGTTGTCAAGGAAGACTCGGTCGCATGTTGCAATGGCCTTAACTTTGGTCTCCACTTTATCGTCATCCTCTCCTTGTTCCTCGTGCATACTTTTCTCCTTCCCCTCTTCCTCCGCGTTCCTCACCTCCTTCTCATCACATTTTTCATCCTCCGCTTCATTGTGCTTCACCGCTCCAATCCACTTTGAAGCGCGGTTGTACTGCCTATTAATGTGGAAACACGGCAGCGGTGGGTTGGTGGACCAACAGTACGCAACAATGTCGCCCAGGCGCTGGCGTTCGTTGCCCCAGTCTGTAGAAATGGTGAAGTCGGGGCCGTGAAAATTAAACTGGCAACGCCACATGATCGTTTCCGTCCTTCGGTCAAAGCGAGACGTGTTCGCATCCCGCTTCTTCATCCCCTCGGAAGTGATCTGGCACACTACACCCCGCTTCTTCGCGGCCTCCCGCAGTGCGTGCAGCGGCGGGGGAAGCGCGCGAAAGGTGTAGTGCCACACCTTTGAAAACCCCCGTCGACAGTTACTGATGGTCCGACGGACATCCTCCAGAAAGTGAAAATCCCGCTGCAGCTGTCCATCAGTAAACGCACTCAGCGGCACCTTCTTTGCAACGTCGCGTTCGCCGCCACACTGAGAGTCCTTCTTGTGCACCCGCACGCAGGTGAGGCTGCACGTGCGCACGCCACAGCCCGGGCAGGTGTACATGGCAGCGTCACTGCAAATGCAACATACCTTCGTCCTTGCTACCGTGCCGTCATCGCCAGTGTGACCTGCCGTGTGCAGAGGCTCCGGCCCCATCATCTCTTCTTGTAGCTGATGATTCGCCAGGTCGCTTACAAGCACATTGCTGAAGGCCGATGCCACAAATTGCGGCATCTCTTCCCCCTCCTCTTCCCCCCCATCGTAATCCTCGGGGTCCACGTGGCTCTCTTCATGCTCATCTTCGCCAGGAATCCAGTCAAGATCGGCATCCGCGGCAGAAGAGACACTTTGCATGTCCTTCCTGTAGGAGTCGTCTGAGGCGGTGTCTGTGTACTCCTCCGTGTTCCCATACATGCCTGTTAACTGACCACAGTATAGAGAAGAGCCCTAAAAGAAAAAAGAAAAAAAGCAGCAAAATAAAAACAAAGAAAAGAAAAAATAAAATAAGAGCCTCGAGCAGTAAAAACGTGGAACGAACACACCTTGAGAGCGATGCGAGATGCATCCAGCTCCATTTCAAAGATTCTGATGCCTGACAGCCACCCTTGCTCCCGCATCGCCCACCTACATATCCAGCAATGCACTCAGGGCCGCCAGCTTGTGCCTGTCCTCTGGAGAGTGTTGCGGTTCCAGTGGACGCCGCTCGGGGTCGCCATCGTACCGGTACTTAAAGTACATCGCCTCCAGTGCAAGCTCCAGCAGGTCTCCACCCACCTCATCCAATGTGATCGTCTCGTACTTCTCAGCCCCAATGGTTGTCACCACAGGCGTGTTTTGGGGGGTTGTGACACTACTGGTGCTGGTGCCGTTACTGTTGCGCCGCCCCTTCCACATAGAATTCCTAATCACCGCACTCACCATGGCGCAGTTGCGATCTACCAGGAACAGACGGTCATCCGCAGAGCGTAAGCAAACCATATAAGAATTGTCAAACACAATCGGCGCGGCAATGACCTGCTCTGGTGGAGGCAGAGTACGCGTCTTCTTTGACATCACCCGAAACGCAGATGATTCCTTCACGCAGGCCGTGTGTGTGTATGTAAAAAGAAGAGGAAGAACAGTAACTTCGCAAGCTGCAGGAATCAAGAAACCAAAAAGTCTTGTCGGTGCCGCAAACAACCACACATTGCACGTTACACTATATCTACATTCATAGCAGCATGCAACGTCCTTTCCCTCAGGCACACCAAAAAAAAAAAAAATGCAACGGACATCAAATACATGCACACAGCGGAATACCAACGACGCATCCCTCCCTGCGGAGACTCATAAAAAGTACAGTGCCAAAAACTTCCCTCCCCCATCAGCCAAGCTATGGAACGTGTGCATAACACCTCGTCACGGCAACTGGGCTACAACCACGTGTTCATCGTTTGTTTTCCTCCTTTTTTTTCTCTCTCTTTCTGTCTCGTGCCTCTTCTTGAGTCGTACTGCCGAGACCACACAGCGCACACATCCAGTGAAAAAGAGAATGTGTGTGTGTATGTGTGTGTGTGTGTGCAAATCATCAGCATTGAAGCGCCTCGGCAACTTTCATCACTTCCAGTGCGGCCTCTAGCGGAACATTAAACGGCGGCCGTTCCTCCATTTCCCCCTCGTAACGGTGCTTGTAGTACAGGTATTGAACAATCACCTCTAGCCGCACCGTTGACAGGGTTGGGAAATGAATGGTGGGCGTGCTCGTGTCGGTCTCACCCCAGTCGATGCTAACCTGGGGGAGGACAAGGGCAAGGTGGTCGGCAAAGCACTTGCGAATGAGCGGCGAAACGCAGGCGCAGTTTTGGTGCACAACAAACCTGTGGCCCTCCGCCGACGTCATGCCAATGTAATCCTTAGGATTCAACTCAAACGTGTCAATGTAAGGCGGGGGTGGCGGCGTACGCCGCATGGGATTAAACGCGGCCCCGCTACGCATCATCCTTTGCAGTTGCTGCTTCTATTCCTGCGGCCCACCCGCCCACTCCTCGGCGAGCGAAGAGTGGTGTATGTGTGCGTGTGAGGTGCACTCACCACAAAGCGAGTGCGACGTCGTCTGTCGTGAGCTGCCCCACCAGTCAGCGTACCCACGTACGTGCATGGCCAACAGACACCACAAAAAAAAATAATAATAATAAATAAAGAAAAACGGTAATATATATCTTTGTATGCCCGCAAGACACACACCTGGAGACGTACACAGAAGTGAAAGATATCACAGTAGTAGTCATAGTAATGCAACGCATATAAAATAAAAATCGGGGGTGCGATGGTGGGCGGGGAAAGTTTCTGAAAGCAAAGAGTCAACCATCCTCAACAGCCTACTACTAACATTACTATCCCTTCATGTTATCCCACAATAACAACAAAAGAGGAAAAAAAAGGGAATACAAAAAAACATTTATGCCCTTACCAAACGACCGTTCCTCTCCTCCAAGGCGTCATTTAGTTCCCACGCGGGGCGAAAAGTGCCGTCGCTGCGGAGCAACAGGGAGTTCGGGGTGGTTGCACCACGGTGGCCAAGAGACGTGTATCCTTTTTTGTACAGGTCACAGAAGGGGAGCTTGTAGGCGAGGGTGTATCCCCATATATCTTCATACCCCCAGTGAAATACCGGACTCGCACGCAGCATCGCTGGCCACCCCGCCGTGGTGGGTTCCACACTCTCCTTCTGGTGGGCACTATCACTACTTCGAGTGCCCATAAAAACAAGAGACATTCTCCTAGATGCTTTAAGCTGCGCGAGACCATCTTTCATCGACAGCGAGGGATCCGTCTTGACTTCAGTCAAACCACGATCCGAAAGATATGCCTCCCTGAAGGCAGTTATTTCATCAAATTCCTTTCTTCCAGCAACCCTAAGAACAAACACACAGAACTTCGACAGCACTGCGCAACCCAACGCACACTCAAGAAGGTCCATCATGACAACGGAGTCTTTACCGCCGTTGAATGCAACACCGATCTCCTCTGGCTTAAACCGGCTAACCAAGTCGCGAATCATTTGAATAGAACTCTTCACAAGGGATTCGGAAGGGCGTTCTGACGACAGCAACTCTCCACAATTCTCCATGACAAGTTCTAAGTATTGAAACTCCATCAACTTACGCACTTTCGCCCCCGTCACGGGGGTCCCCTGCAAGACCAATTTTCGTAACGCGGTTTCCATCTGCCCCAATGGGCCGAAATAGCGCAGGCTCCTGCAGTCAACGATGTGCACCTCCTCCAGCGTCGGAATAGCAGCCAACGCGCTTACATCCGTGACATTGTCGCACTTTTCCAGCTCCACACATGTAAGCGCTCCGCACATACAAAGTTCAGCAATATCGGTGTCAGTCACCTCCGGGCCCACGAGCTTCACACATCGCAATTCCCGAGACATGTCCGTAAGTGTCGTCCCTCCTGCCTTCTCCAAGAGTTCAAGTGTGTGAGACAAGCAAACGTTACCAGACAACGACAGCAAACGTAAACAATAACAACACAATGGTGAAGATGCACCAGGATGACGCCCTCTCCCCACACAGAGAGGAAAAAAAACAAGGGAGGTTTTTGGCTCACTGGCCCAATGCGCCATGCGCACCTGCCCACAAACAAACAAACAAACACACGTCAAAAAATAAATAAATCTGCAAAGACATTTTATATGATACATGGCGCTGTTGGGAGCTCGCAAAAAGTAAGTCGCTGGAGGCTCCGCAACCATCATCCACCTTCGCATAGGGAGGGAGCAGAAAAAAACGATCAATCGGAAAATAATAAGAAACCAAAAAAAAACACACACCATCTACTCCTAACACTTTTTCTCTTCGCAGAAAAAAAAAACACACCAATTAATTCATAAAATGACGGGGCATTCAACAGAACTTGCTACCAGCCACTGACCCCCGTCTGGCGGCGCATGGC